TTTTATACAGCTCTTTAAGAGCTTCATCTCACTTTTGATAACCAGCTTCCACATGGAAGGACCTGAAGAATCTTCAACTTGTGTACCCATAAAATAAGTATGTATTGCTTATCTACTCAGGGTTGCCTTAAAGGCTTCTGGGGTTGCTGGAAACCTTTTCCTTTTTGGGAAAGGCTATGAAAGTGTAAGGACAAATGAGGAAACACACTGGAATAGGCACAGAACTGGAAAGTTTTAACAGCTCAAAGTTTGAGTCATTTTACTGCAGTTTTGCAAAACTTCCAGCGAGTGTTTTGGTGCCACCTCTGCTAAACAGTTCAGATAACACCAGCTCCTGTTGGAAGCCACAGGCCTCCAGAGCTCCCTTTTCCCTGATTACACGAATCCTTCCACCCAGCCCCCATCCCCAGGAGACCCGTGCGGGGCACAGGTGAGTGACTGCTCTGCTTGGGGATGATTACAAAGCTTTTGAGTGCAATGGCTTTAAAATCCTGCCTGTCTTAGAGGGGTTTTTCCTCTTTGCCGGCTCTCTCCCAAAGTGGCTGCTGTGATTAGAGCTGTAATCTCTGTATCAGCTTTTACATTTCAGACCGGGGAGGGGAATTAATGCAACTCCAGTGTCTGCCTCTTCATACGTTTTCCCAAACACTGTTTGCTCAGGAACAGCCCTAACTTCGTTCTCATCCTGAGAGTGACCAAGTCCCCAGATTTCTACCAATCCCTTGGAGAATGGAAGTTCCCGCTGGACGTGGCGACCGAGGAGGTGGAGGAGGAGGAGCAGGAGGGCTGGAGCTGCCGGCCCAGCGCTGGGGATGAAGACAGGGATGCTCCAAGGCCGCGTCCGGCAGGGACGGCGCTGCAATTTGCTGGGGTGAGCCCACGTGGCCGCGGGTCTGCCGTCAAGGTGACACGTGTGACTTCACCCCCGATGTTTACGGAGCAGGACGGGTGTTCCGCTGCCCTCCACCCAAAGCCCTGGTGTGTCCAAGCCCAGCCGGGGTGTTGTTTTTAAGGAGCGTCCTCCTCCCCGGCTGCGGAGCCGCTGGCACGCGGGAGCTGCTGCAGATGTTTCCATGAGAAGGTCGCAGCTCTTCTTTCTGGTTAAGCCCCGCAGACACGTCTCTAATTACAGCTTTGTGGCCGGCGTGAGGTTATAGGGGGAGGAAAGTGCGCGCTGGAATCAGTTTAAATGATTTGAGGGCAGCGACTCGGCGCCTTCGCACCGAGCGGGAGGCGAAATGCTGGCGGCACGCACGGGGACCGTGGGGGGGAAGAGCGCCGAGGAGTCCCTGAAGCTGAGGAAGCAGTCGGTGCTTTCCGTGGGCAGCAGGGACAGAACCCTGAAGAGCTCCTCGGAGAGCGGGAAGGAGGGCCGGTCTCGGCCCGGGCAGCCCCAGCAGCGAGCCCGGCGCCTGGCGCTGCTGCGGGAGCTGGAGATGAACTGGTACCTGCGGGTGTGTGAGCTGTCCCACGAGTACACCATCGCCTACACCACCGGCATGCCACACAGGTACGTACCCACGGCTCTGCCACGGGCACTCCGGGAATGGGGCTGTGGGGATGTTCATAATAGTAATAACTATAACAACGATGATGACAACAGTAACCATAATAATAATAATAATAGTAGAAAGATCTTTGGCTTTACAAGTCTGATTTCTCTGATTATTCATGGTTTTTTCCCTGCACCTCGATGGGTGTGTGTTACAGAGCTGAGAATCCTGTAAACTTGTTTCTTGGTTTCCGTAACTTCTTCGGCACAAGCTGCCTGTGGTCGTTCGGCCTCGTTTCTCACGAGCTGTTTTGTCCAAGTGGTTGTAGTTCTGCTGGAATAGCGTTGAAAAGTTGCTGCTGTTGATCAGGGACCGTGTGGGTGACAAGAGAGTCCTGCTTTCCTCTGTCTCTGCCCGGCAGCGGCGGTGGCTCAGCCTGGGAACGAGCCGCCCAGGAGGGGGAACCTGCAGCTGCCGGATCTCTCATCCCATCAGTCTTAAATGTCGCAGCCTCCAGAATCTGATCTTGCTCCTTTAAAAAAATATAAGGGGATCTTGGTATTAGTGGAAATTAGACGTGAGACTCCCTAATCTCCTGTGCAGGGTCAGCCCCTCCGTGAAACCGGAGCCCAGGCAGAAGTGCCCGGGGGTGCTGCTGCCCCAGCCCGAGGAGCAGCATCGCGGGAGCGACGGCCGCGCTCCCCCGGGACAGTTTGGGGGACTGGCAGAGGGAGGATGGGGGTTTCAGTCCCCTCAAGGGACAGGGCTACTGCCGAGGGGGGGTTCAGCCTTATGCCCAGCTCGACTCAGCCGGATTTCGACTGAGAACCGGTTGAGATCTTCCCTAATCCCAGGCAGGATGGGGATGCCTAAAGTGCCTGGCACAAAACGAACTCTTACAGATGTGCTTGGATTAGAAATTATTTAGAATGTCATTAGGAAAAAAATTAGGAACGGGACAACTGAAAGGAAAACAAAGTAAAACGCAGCTGGAGCAGGTCGTGAAGTGCAGAAATGTCCACAAGCACCTGGAGAGAACACGAGGGGTCTGTGGGCTGGGAGGGAGCAGACTCGGGGGTGTGGTGCCCATCTGCCCCACCAGCCCGTGGTCAGGCACCCAGGGGTTTGAATAGCACCAGAAAAGCAAACTGCTGGTGAATAACTTCTGGGAGAACTAAGTTTCTAAAGATGCTGCTGATCCCCGCAAACCCTGAAACTCCAAACCAGCAAAACTCCTATGTCCAAAAAATTCAGAGGCGCTTGCAGAAGTATTCCTTTGCCTTGGTTCACCTTGCATTATGGATGAGCAAAATGAGGGCTGGCAGGAGGTAGGAGCAAAGTGAGGGCTGGCAGGAGGTAGAAGCAAAGGCAGCTGCAGCAGAGATCACAGGTACAGCCTTCGGGAGGGAAACACTGTCCCTGTGAGCAGGAACGGCCTCAGGACATGCTGCCCTCCCTGCAGCGTCCTTGGGTTGCAAAGAGCAGGGCTTGAAAGCCCCCCCTGCACCCCACCTTTGGGTCAGCACCATGAGAACAGGATCCCCATCTTCAGGAGTGTCAGGGGCCCCTGGGGCAGCAGGGCAGGAGCCTCCTGGGGACACCCAGGTCCATCAGTGCCCTGATCTGACAGCTGCAGAGGAAGAGTAGCAGGGTAATCCCAGTGTCCCCACCAAACTCCCCTCTGTGACATTGAATTATAAGCTTTTAAAGTATATTCTGGGGTTGGGATCAGTCTTTCTTTATCTGCTTTGAAAGATTTAAGGATTAGTTGAGTTCATGATACATCCATCTCTTGATTATTTAACTTATTTTTCCACTGCATTTGGGGATGAAATGCCAGCCCGAAAATGGGTTGAGTTTTTAAAATAGAAGAGCTCAGAGATCTCCCTCAGGGGTGTGTATCAGACTTTGGCAGGATTGTTTGCTGTGGCCAGAAAAGGTCAGTGGGGTCCTTCTGGGTGTTACCTTGTCCAGCAGGGATGAACACCTTGGAAACCATCCCTGGAAGTGTCCAAGACCAGGCTGGATGGGCCTTGGAACAACCTGGTCTAGTGGGTGCCATTCCTGCCCATGGCTGGGGAGTTTGGAATAAGATGGTCTTTGAAGTTCCTTCCAACCCAAACCATTCAATGATTCTATCAACCAGAAAATTGTTTTTGCTATTTATCAGCGGTGAAGTAATTGATAAAATTATAATTTTATTTGTATTAATTATCAGAGCCCTGGGAGGCTGCAGAGGTTCCCAGACCAGGTAACTCCAGCAGTGCGCTATGAGAAAACAAAATGTTCTAATGACTAGCAGAAGAGATGCCTTCAGTGTTCATCTGGCCAGCCCGGGGCCTGAAATACACCCCGTGAGAGTATTTGGTTTATGTTTATTGGCCTTGGATTGAATCCCAAGCAAATATTTCTCATTATCTAAATATAAGACCTGGGAAACGGGGTCAGTGCTGTATTCCCACTGGCAGCCCTTATCCCTTGGAGTACTGGGCCGTGAGAGGTCTCGGCAGATGAAAAAGATTGCTGATCTTGGCCATAATCCAGGCCGGGCATCAACGAAAACGGGCCAGTTGCAATAACATAAACAATGTCTGGGAGGCGAAGAGGCCGCCCCGAGCCGTGAGCCCGCTGGGCAGCACAGCCCGGGCAGCACAGCTCTGCTGCGGTGGGCGGCTCTGGAGGGGCTGTGGGTGGCTCTCGGTGGGGCTGTAGGCCCCGCTCTCAGTGGGGTTGTGGGTGACTCTTGGTAGGGCTGTGGGTGACTCTCGGTAGGGCTGTGGGTGGCTGTCGCTGGGCCGTGGGTGGCTGTCGCTGGGCCGTGGGTGGCTCCCACTGGGGCTGTGGGTGGCTCTCAGTGGGCTGTGGGCCAGCACCATGCACCTGTACAAGCCGGCCTGCACCAACATCCCCCTGCACCGACCGGGACCGGCCAAGGCCTCCGAGGCCGTGCCCAGGGTCCGGCAGGCGAGCGGGGCCCTGCGCCCACCCGGCCCGGCCGCGGGCTGGCCCCGGCCCCGCAGCCCCGCCAGCGAGAGGAAACAGCTGGAGAGGTTCCTGCACCTCCATGGACTGTCCCTGCAGGACACCACGCGGGCCCAGACCGGCATGAAGTACAGGTACAGGTACAGGTACTGCTGTGTGGGGACGGCTCTGGGCCCGGCAACTGGGGCTGGGGAACAGACAAGAGGGCTCGGTCTTAAGCTGTGCCAGGGGAGGTTTAGGTTGGATATTAGAAAGAATTTCTTTCCAGAGAGGGTGCTCAGCCATTGGAATGGGCTGCCCAGGGAAGTGGTAGATTCTCCATCCCTGGAGGTGTTTAAGATGAGACTGGATGTGACATCAGTGCCATGGGCTGGGAACCACAGCGGTAGTAGATCAAGGGTTGGACTTGATGATCTTGGAAGTCCCTTCCAACCCAGCTGATTCTATGATTCTATGAACGGGGCTGAGGGAGCTGAGGCTGCCCCGGGCGGGCTGGCACCGTTGGGCCCCTTCTCTGCCTCAGGAATTTCGCTTCTCTGGGTTCTCTGAGCCCCACAAGAACTGGGATGACGGGGAGCAAAGCTAAATGTGTGTGACCTGTTCTCTTAAAGCTCTGAATCTGATCTTTTTCTTCTAAAGTTAACCACAGAATCCCAGACTGGTTTGGGTTGGAAGGGGCCTTAAAGTCCATCTTGTTCCAACCCCCTGCCATGCGCAGGGACACCTTCCACTAGCCCAGGCTGCTCCAAGCCCTGTCCAACCTGGCCTTGGACACTTCCAGGATGGGGACAATCAAACTGAGTTTTCATGCTTGGGGTCTGAACCCTGAGACCCTCTGCCCTCCTTATGGAGCAAACAGACTGGAAGCCCAAGAACTGGCGTTTAGCTGGTCTAGCGTCTAACATGTGGCTTCTGTGTTAGAAGAAGTGTCCAAGGGAGAAGGTCTTATCCATGCAGGGAGCTGAAACAACCTGGGGAAAGAGGGTGTAGGCTGGGGATGGTGGATGAAGAAGACATGGGTATGCTCAGTCCATCAGTTGTCATTGTGTTTTGTTTCTAAAGAGGTTCATTTTAAGAGGATGATGTTCCATATGGAAAGTCTACATGTTCTCTGTGCTTCTAATAAAAGCAAATTTTCTTTGAAATATTTGCTTTCCCAAGAGGTTGATCTCTGCCCGTGGCCTGTTTGAGCCTAAAACTGAAATAAGACAGTATGACCGCTGTTTTTATGGATCCAGCAGAGTTGTGTCCCAGCTTTAGCTGCAGGCTGGGGAAATTTGGTGTTGTTTGGAGACATTGCTGAGGGGACACGGGGGCTGTGAAAGAGCAGATTTGGAGCTGCAATCAGGAGAAGTGGCAAAGGGCTCTGTACCACTGCTCTGCTGCAGAGCAAGTTGGGGTGACATAGCCTGGAAGGCTGAGAGAGAGAACTGAGGCCACAGTGCCTGGGTGGTGAAAAGGGAGAAGGACCACAGGCAGTGGATTGGCATCCCAGGGACGCTGTGCTCGGAGCAGAGCTGTGACTGGAGCAATCCTGGGTCAGCAGGAGCAGTGTGTCCCTGAGCCAGATACTCTGATCAACTGGGGTTTTTGGGCCTGAAAAGTTCCCTCCCTTTAATGAGAAATTCTTTTGCTCCTTCTGGTGATGCTGATGCCACGTGGCAGCTGCGTTTTTTAAATGATTGGTGTCAGTGCACACACAAAACCCACCATTTTTCTGGTTTCTCTCTAATTCTGCACTTTCTGTGGTGTTTTCCCATTGTTGCCCAGACACAGTTTAACCCTCGCTGTGCCCTCGCTCAGAAGCACAAGTGATGCTGTAGGCACACAGTGCTCCCATGAAGTGGTTGTGATCTGAAATGTCCTCCACGGGAGAGTATCCTGCCAAAGCCCTGGTGTATGGACACCTCCTGACATGGGACTGGGCTGCTGCCGAGTCCAAAAGGCATCACTCAAAACCTGACAGTGATGTTGCACCAAAAGCATGCCCAGACTGGGACAAAAGCCCCGCAAAGAGGTTGGGTAGAAAATTTCT